TCTTTCCCTTCCTCGAGCTCGTCGTTGATCCTCTGCCTCCTGCTAAGCAGATTACTGAGCTCCGCGTCTGCCGGCATCGTGATCGTTTTCAACCGCCTTCACCCTTCGATTTCTTATTGTTAACCTCTACGATTTCAATTTCGCGACACGCGACCGTCGATCTGTATGATTCTCGATTGGAATAATTATATGAACGAGTTGATAAGGAAATGTTTCACAGAATACACGATACGACAGAAAAAAGTAGAGACATGGTTTGAAAATTGCAATGTTAGCTGTCAAATTTCAAGTCAATACAAAAACGAGAACACTCCGACCGGCGCGGTGAGCCAGCGTGCACTGACGGTGTACTGGATAGCTCGGGTAGTAGGTACCTTTGGAAACCAGTGCCGTAGCAACGCAATGTTACAAGGGGATACTGTCATCATATTATAAAATATATTATAAAATTTTAACATTTATGCATAATGATTTATACATAAATCGTGTTAAATTATTAGTATATATTAAACGTTTATTAATACATCTCTATATGTGTCGTTTATTTATTTTTTAAATAACACAAATATTAAACTACATTTTTTAAATTAACTAACAATTTTATTTTTATTAACAATATATTTATTAGATAATAAATCTAGGAAACTTTTTACTATATATTACTGTTATTTTGTATAGTATTTTTCAGTTCGTAAAGTTGACCGATATCAATTCGATTTATCGATAACCTATCGAGAAATCTTCATGACAATCTTAGAAATCGATAGTATGAATCATTTTGAAAATCCAAACTATCATCTATTCACATGTACATTTAATTATCGCTTGCCTTCTGTAGAAATATTTCATTACATGTATACAAACACATTTTCTTTTCACTTATCGGATTTCGTACACACTTGCGACATTCACGTATGAGGTATTCTATTTCAAACATATCCTCTTAAATCTATACAAAAACTGTTTCTTATAACCTATATATATTTACAGGTTGAATTTGAAAGATTGTACTGGTAACAATTTTCAGTTGTTCGCTGATATTCGCACCGAGAAGATTTATTATCAGCGAGCACTAAAAGTATTAATTTTCAACTATCGTTAAACAATTTGTACATTTTTTAAATTCCGTAAATCATTGTAATCAAGAATATTGAAGTAGAAGATCAGTGAATATATAAATCTTAAATTGTGGAAAATTGGCAAATATAGAAATTTTTGTGGAAATTATGGAATTTTCAAGTTCTAAACTACATATGTCAATCTGGGATAGTGGAAATTTAAAAGGAGCATTAAATCTGACTTACATAATTTACAGAATTTGTAAATCTTGATTGTGTAAAACAGTACATAACTTATAGAAAGTACAAAATACATCACCTTTTGAATCGTGAAAATCACTGAATTTACAAATTTTGAATTATCCAAAATCTCTAAACAGAGAAATCTTGAATAAACATTGTATACACAAATTTTGAATTTTGAATTTTCTTCATTCGACAGAATAACAAAACTTTCGGGTGATATTGCAAGTTATCGATGAGTTATTCAAACATAATCAATGATATATCCATGAATCATACATTAATCTCATTAGATGAGACATTATCGTAAACACGAGAGATACAGGATGTCTTCCTCATCGGAGAAATCGCAAACAAGATACATCGGGTCTGGTCACCACAAAAAGAGATTCAATTTTTGTAGCACGCCCGTGACAGGCAAAGGTACTATACTTAGCAGCATAAGTATATCTGCAGTTGATACTAATTCATCCTCGAGTGTAAAAAGACAACACAAAGAACAAATTATACCGAAGAATTATAAGAGGAAACAGATAAAAAAGAAATTACCGAAAAAGAAATTAAAACATAAAAAAAAATTAAAGCAGGCGACAGATAAGAGGCATGAAACAGAAAAAGGAAAAGGAAAGAAAAAAAAAAAAGAATGGATTGTGCAGGCAATCTCTGACACAGATTGGGGAACATGTGATGAAATTTCACGGCAGCCTTCTATGGAAAAGGCCACTTCCGGTTCTGAAAACGATATTTTATTTAAAGACTTAAGATCGCCAGAACGCATTCGAGAGGCACCTCAATTTATTGAAAATCGTTTAGAATCACCGATTTTTCGGCCTCGTGGATGGAAGGTCAAAAGTCCTGAGAAAATTATTTTTGAGAAAAGCGAAGAAATACTGCCAGTGAAAAATTTACCATTGTCTCATATAGGGTTCACTGATAGCGATGACGAACAAGATAGCATATGTCTAAGTAATTATCTTATTTCAAACATTATGTTCCATTTTATAATAAAGAAATTAGTTATTTAGGGGGAAGAAAGATTTTAATTCAGATATATGGATCATGATAATTAATGTTGTTTATGTTTTAGGAAGGGAAGATGTCATCAAAACGTATTTAGGTTTCAGAAAAGAGAAACGAAACAAAAATGATGTAAGAATTGATAAATGTAAACAATGGTTAGTCAATCTATCGATTCCAACAGACTCAAGTGATCTTCTTTGGGACAATTTTGTTAAAAATAATCATAAAAGTATAAGTAAGTATCTTGCATTGCCTAGTAATAAAGAGGAATCACCATTAAATAAACATTGTGAGTATTAAAATATTAATCTCTAAATTTGAATATTCCAAGTTCCCCATTACCTGCATATATATCTAAATTAATAATGTACTATATATTTTAGCTGAACATTTTGAGACACATAATCATGAAGAAATAGCTACAAAAGCTGAAAAAGTAAATAAATTGAAGTTCGATGGAAAATTCGATATCATGCGTAAATACTGGAATAAATCTTTGAAAAAATGGGTTCAAGTTTATGACATATATGATTTTCCTGGAGCTGAGGATACTGAACATGAAACAAAAAGAGGAAGAATGACCCTAAATCAATATCTTCAAAAATGCAGGGATGAGAAAAAAAATTCAATAGAACTAGGATCTAGTTCTTCTCCAACGCATCAGCGAAGTATTGAAGAAGAATTTAGAGATTTAAGTAGTCCGGATAAGGAGAAAAGAAAGACGAAAAGGTCCTTTGAAAATTACAAGTTTGGATCTAAGAAACCTAAAACAATAATGGAAAATGTATCGGAATCGGAATTACAGAGGATAAATAAAATTCGTCAATTTGCATCGCGATTAAATAAAATGGAAAAAACACCGATTGCTAACGAAATATCTCTACCCTCGACTTCGAAGAATAAATCTGATTATACAGTATCTTCGTTAAAAAGAGCACATAAAGAAGAAACAAATGATAGAGAAGATTCCAAAAAACAAAAATTGTTAAAGAAAAGTAAACCTACAATTAAATCGATAGAAACATTAACCAAAGTTCAATTTAAACGAAACTGGCGAATCATATAAATTATATTTATATAATATATTATAACTTTATTTATTTATTTATAAAATTATATACTTTTATTTATAAAAGATTCAATATTATCGAATATTAGATCTTTTATTTATAAAAGATTCAATATTATCAAATATTGAATATTTTTTAATTTGTCATATTCTCTCCAAATATTATTGTGAAGTCTATAATTTTTTGCTTGATTTTTTGCAAGTTATATACAATTACAAGGTCTAATTAATTATGAAATAATTAATAATAAAAAATAATTCCAATTCACTATTTTTATTATTTTTGTAATATTTCTTCAATATACAATTATTAAAACAGTTCCATAACAGTTTTACTTATTTCTAAGAAACTAAAATTAATTAAATTTTTTCTTTTCACGAAATAAAAGACAAAAATTAATTTCTGCAAAAGAGGTTAAAATGAATATGTATAACGCATCGGAAAATTTTTCATCGACTTTAATAAAGCTGAACAGTTAGTATATTTCCTAGAATTTCTTAGTTATCATTCATGTTGAAGGTGTCGCAGAGTCATTCTATGGCCGTTTAATTTTAGCTCGTGTTTATAAATGCAGCATTTAACTTATTTCGTAAAAAATACTTACTAGATTTAATGCTGTGTTCTCAGTAATACTTCTCATTCTTTTCCTTCCTTAAAGAATGTTAAAATAAACGAAGTTCGGAGTGACGGCATGAGTTCTTTCTTTGGTTTCATACGGAATTTGTTTTTCAAGATGTTGCAATTAGTTTGGTTTAGTAATCAAAAGATAAAAAATTCTTTGAATATATATGTGAAAACTAATACTGGAAATACATTTGCCGTTGATTTGGATCCGAAATGGGATATAAGAAACGTAAAAGAGATAGTGGCTTCTCAAATGGGAATATTACCTGAACACATAAAAATAATATTTGCAGGAAAGGAATTGCATAATTCAACGATAATAGAAGTAAGATAAAATAATTTGCACTAGTAAGTTAAAATAATTTGCATAGTGATAGTGACAATTCATATTTTTAAAGTTTAAAGTAATTATAAGTGGAATAACCTCACTTTATCAAAGTTTTTATTATAGGAATGTGATTTGGGTCAACAAAGTATATTACATGCTGTTCGAACTCCACCTCAAAAGTTTAATAAAAGTAAAGATACAAGTACTATCGATGAATCTATAGAAATATCTGAATTAAATGGTAGTGGTGGAAAGCCAATGAATGAAACTCTTATCGATTTACCTTTGGATGAATCAGATCCACAAGAGAATTCATCCATGGAAGGTAGAATAATTGTAGCCTTTTAAAGGGTATACACAAATGGTCACAATAAATATTAAGTAAACATAGCTACCAATATAAAATAGATACTTACAATTCTATATGAATTACATAGTATTTCCATTTATAGAGAAACAAGAAAATCGTGCACATTTCTTTGTGTACTGTTCAGCACCATGTAAAGCTGTAACAGTTGGAAAATTAAGAGTAAGATGTGCAACTTGCAATAGTGGGGCAGTTACAGTAGATAGAGATCCTCAATGTTGGCCAGATGTATTACAGCCAAGAAGAATAACAATTCATTGTGAGAATGATTCATGTCCGATATCTACATCTATTTCTAATGAAGATACTGAATCTCAAGTTTTATATGCACATTTTTATTTCAAATGTGGAAAGCATGCTAGTTTAGGGGAAAAGGATGAAGCAGTTCCATTATATCTTATAAAACCAAACTTGGGAAAAATACCTTGCCTTGCTTGTACAGATGTTAGGTGATTAATTTTTAGAATGCTATCTGGTAAGAAAATATAATAATACTCATAATTTTACTTATAATTTTTTTGTAGAGGCATGGTGTTGGTTTTCCCATGTGAAGCTGGTCATGTGACTTGTCTTGATTGCTTTAAAGACTATTGTTCAGTTCGTTTAAGAGAACGTCAGTTTCAGTTTGATGAAACTAGAGGATATTATACTCTTCCATGTCCAGCAGGATGTGCAAATTCTTTTATTCCAGAAATACATCATTTTCATCTTCTTTCTCCAGCACAGGTATTTTATAAGAAATATATAAATTTCAAGAAAATGTCAAATATTAATGATACATATATGAAATAGTACGAGCAATATCAAAGATTTAGTACAGAAGAATATGTTTTACGTGCTGGTGGTATTTTATGCCCAAGACCAGATTGTGGTATGGGTATTATACCAGAATCTCCAGATAATGGTACTGATGAATGTAGAAAAATCCAATGTTTTGGTGGTTGTGGGGTAATTATATACAAATAAAACACGCGGTAGAACAAAAAACTTTAATTAATTAAAATATTAATAATATATTTGTATGTTTAGTATGTTTTTTGTAGACGATGTTTACAAGGCTATCATTTAGGAGACTGTGAGTTGCAACCATCTGAATCTTCTAATACAATCTATAAATCTGGTTATTCAGTTGATCCACAGAAAGCTAATGATGTATGTAATACTGTTTACACTATATTTATTTATTAATTAGAAAAGTCATTTAATGATTTTTTATTCAGGCAAAATGGGATGAAGCCAGTAATAAAACTATAAAAATTTTAACAAAACCATGTCCAAAATGTAGAACTCCAACTGAAAGAGATGGTATCTTAAAATGCTTAATAAATTTTCTATTTTTAATTTTCTATTTTTTCTTTTTAAATTCACAGGGATTTTATTATTTTTTAGGAGGTTGCATGCACATGGTTTGTACTAGAGCAGGATGTGATTATCATTGGTGTTGGGTATGTCAATCACAATGGACAAGAGATTGTATGGGTAATCATTGGTTTGGATAATTTATAAATAACTATTTATATCCTTAAAATACTATATTTTTATAAAAATATAAATAAAAAATGAAAATTAGGTATGTAGTTATTATTACTATTGTGAATTAAATATTAATTCATTCAAAATAGCATATGAAAATAGATATTATAGGATTCTGAATAAGTTTTCAAGTGAGAAATACGATTTTATGCTTTTTCATTGTGCTATATTGTAATTATATAAATTATGAATTATTAAAATTTTATTCTATTCTATAAAAATTTCGCAATGCATAATTCTGTTAAATTAATCATTGTATATATAAGCGTTTTAAATTTAAGTTTGTATATAAATTTTAACGAGTTATGAACGAAATGTGAAAGTGCCTTTGATGCCTTCTATTTAAACAATGTATATACCTGAGCATTTTGTCTGTGAATAAATTATCATTTATTGGATACGAACAACTTTATAGTATGTTTTTAAAACTTTGAGGAAGATATGTTGGAACAGTATATGCTCGTTTATTATATTTTATTATAATGATTGTATTATGTCTAATACATTTTATTTAAAAATATTAAGTCACAATTTTAGGACGGATTCATTTTTTCAGAAATTGACATTAAGTTCATATTTAATAATTATAAGGTATGTAACTAACTAATTTGATAATTTGTGAAATTATTAAATAATTTTTGTTATTTCGATACTCTTTTTACTATTTGGATTTTTCAAATATTTATTTCAATGTGTTTTCTAATATTTCTATATACCTATTAATTATTTCAATACCTATGTATATATATTATTTGTATTGCATCCAAAAGGATACTTTTGAAGGAATTTAATATGACTTTGTCCACTCTTAGTCACCTAATAATTAAAACAAATGTAGAAATAATCAAGTAGCAACACCATACCTTAAATAAAACCACTTGTATCACATACGGAAATCAAATTGCTGTAGTCTGTGGTGCCGGTGGTGGTGTCAACGGTGTCCAAGCGGTAGTTGGGTGATCGTTATTTGTAATATCCGAGTCCTGTCGATGGTGTCTGTCAATCACTGTTGTCAGATATCTTCTATTTTCATCTGACTGTACATCATTTAATGCATCCGTATTTTGTTCAGAATAGCTAACCGGTATATGATGTTCTTTCGAAGGGGTATCGTATTCGACACTAACAGGAGACACTGTTCCAGTTTGTTGAATAGGTTGTAAGTGCAACATTTGGGAATGATGATGCTGCGAATGACGATCAGGCGTCGTTGACTGAACAGGAGAAGCATGGTACTCGTGGACATACTCTTCAACAGGGGGAACGGTATCTGTCCCATTTGGATGTAAAGAATGATGTAACCCTGTATGAGGAACTGACGTATAAGATGACATCTGATGATGTAAATGTAAATTTAAATTTAAATAAGATTGTTGTTGTTGTTGTTGTTGTTCTGATAAAGTTGTAGGATGAATCCAAGCTGAAGTGTCGGTACAGTGACTGTGTTCTTGAGGGACAGAAGATAGGTTTGATGGTACATATAAAGTACAGCCTGTAGCAGTGGTTGGAGATGCAGTTCCAACAACACCTCTACTAAACACTGTGTGTGAAGATGAAGTTGGTGACGGCGAAGGAGACGTAGGCCATTCTTGCGTAGGTGGCAAACAAGCTGGATTCAAGTTTTGCAGCGATTCTGGACTGCGTGGCGACCATCCTGGTGCTGCTACGTATGCTGTGGAATGCAAGAGTTGTACTGAACTGTAAGGATCCGCACATTGTTCTGTAATGATCCGAAAATTTATTTATTTCGGATTATATATATCTGATATAAATAAAAATAAAAAAATTATAAAATTAGTGATAAATATAAGAATTTACCATCTTGAATGTATTTATGTCTCAGAGTGTAAGGTGTCGATCTGCAGGTATTCCTGTGGCCAGCTGTAGAACCGGTACAAGAATTAGAGAGATGATTATTGACCGTCACTGTCGCTTGATTCTGAGCGGCCGCAATGGCCGTAGCTGTATTATATTCATATCCCATGGTAGGTTGTGGCAAAAACCATGCGCCAGTATCTATAATTAATAAGTTCATATTTTTGAATATCTTTTTTATTATTGAGATAATCAACGAATAAAATATATATTCGATAAACAAAAAATTTAAATAATATTGATAGTTTGTAATGAGTTAACTTACATTGCGGATAGGTTTGCGGATCAGCAGGTCTTTCTTTAGCATCGAGGAACGCCTTCGCAAAAGGATTGTATTTAATCTTCAAATTTGTGACTTCTTCGTTTTGGTAAGCAGTCACCGCTATGAATTGTGTCTCAGGATAACGGTAAGTGAGCACCTGAATATCATTTACATATTGACGGATTTAAAAGTGATATAAATTATAATTTTAGTTTTTGTTTATATTACATTTATAAGTTGCATTGTAAAAAATTATGAACTAAAGAAATTATAATATATTGTGATTAACCCAAACCGTTCTTTCTTCCACCGCATCTACACGAACCAGATGAACTCGAGGTTCATATTTATGCAGCGAGTTTAGCATAATTTGTCCGTTTCCATTGGATTTGTTTGTCAGCTTCACTTTAGCAAATGACACCGCCTCTTTCATCCAATGGGATCCAAAGTTTGGACTCTCTGGATGGAGGTAAATCGGATTCGGTGGAGCAACTTCTGCTTTCCCGCCTGGGACCCATTCTCCGTTAACATATTTCCATCTACCAATAAAATTCGTAAATCTTGAAACACGGTTTATAGTGTAACGCAAACCAGTCCTTAAGTTTATCAAAATAATATGTGCTTTTCTTGAAGTTATATATTTTGTTACCTGTGTGGGTCCACCTGGACGAATTCAAGAAGAAGAGTGTACATAGCTTTCGGCTCTAATCCTCTTGCAACCACTTTAACAACAGGAAACATCCGTCTGAAAGTAAAATCGAAAAGGACATGAGTCCACATAGTTTCGCGTAGAAATTTTATTGGCGTGTTCCTTTTATCTTTATCTAAATTTAATTTTTGATGGTACTAGCTACCACAAGACGTTTTGTAAAGTGATAACGAAGCCCGCGTCTCGAAAGGAGCAAAATTTTATAAACACTAATGAAAGTAACACTCAAGGCGGCGGACAGCAGAAGAATCGAGCCGCCGGCAATAAAATTTTACGATGCCCACAATTCTGCGTAAAACATTCTTCCATTTCTGTTGGTGTATCTACGAACACTGTGCCCCTGAAAGAAAAACGCGGTCGACAAACTGTAATCGTTCTTAATAATATACGAATCGTAAAAGTAGTGAGTCGGTATTCACCATGACAAATATCTTTTGATCTGCCGGTCGAAGACATTTGAATGTATTTTCATAGATCGAATTGTTCACCTCGTCTCTCATTTTCTTGAATTTAATTACTCATCTTCAATGTGAAGTTAGAGTTATATATTATACAATTAACTTCTATCAAATTGATCGACTAGAAGAACATCAATCTTTTTATAATATGCACTCTATTTTTTCCTATTCTTTGAGGATATAGAAGGATTTTTAGAGAAATGTATATGATTTCAAGAGTCGCGCTCTATCTAATGATAGAAGCCTTTAAAAAATTAAAATAAATTAAATAAGTGAAAAAAGATATTTATTATTGATAATATTTTTCTCGTTAATTTGAATTAATGAGAAAGAAACTTCAGATAGTTAATTGTATCACAAAGAAAGAATACTATCTTGTTTTTGAAACAAGGTTGAATATTTATTCGTATGAATCATCTAAATCCTCGTAACTTTTTGCAATGATCTTTTTTCCATTCTACAAGTGGTATTTTTTTTCTCCTTTTACCGTGGTGTATATGAACTATTATTTTTACCTTCTGCCTTGTTCGCACCGAAGCTCTAATTAATACATTTTTACGCGCGACGGAGAGCCATCTTTGCTTCGGACCTTTCAACCAGCGAATCCTTCGAGCTTCTTAAATGTGAAACCTGTGATATACTATTTTAAATGTGTAAATGACTCATGCGTGTCGGTAAATCGTTTATACTTAATCCACCAATGTTTTTTTCCAGTTGACAGTTACTACTTCTTTCCATAAAACGAAATAATTTTTCTTAAATTATTAGGTGCAACAACGACCACTACTTATAAAAGAAAATAAGCATTCGCATTAATGTCACTACTTTCTTCGCATAATTTCATGTATATTATAATAGGAATATTCGCAGGCGTTATGCAGGGCAACACTCACCTTCCATTCTTCGTGACAATCATTTCATTGGTCAAGCATTGGAACTTGGTCCACAAATCTCTGTCTTCAAGAGTCAAGGAAAGGGGTAATCTCTGATTTCCGCTAACAGTCATAGCACCAAGATTTTGCCCCGACACCACCGTCCTTTCGTTACTTCTTTCTTCGTGATCTTCCTCTGGAGTCGTTCGATTTTGTCCTCCAGTACTGTTTCGTTCTCTTCCACGATCTTCGTGGACTTCCCTCTCGCGTTCTCGTTCACAACAGGATGACCGTGTTGGTGAACCTGGTGTAGCCGGTGCTGGCTGCATTTTCCCTTTTCTTCGACCCTTAACTTATTCTTCGACCTCTCTGACCCGAGTTGCGACTCAGAGGAGGTTCCCAGAGACACTTTCCTCAAGCTTTATTTCTTCTTTATTCCTTCACAATTCAATTTTCACCAGAAGAAACCAACGATCTCTGTTATTCTTCAATTATTCGATATAAATCCCTCATCGAACATTACCTCTGGGTCTTCAAGAAAAGACAAGGTGAGAGACAGAAACCGAAGAGGGTCGAAGGAAACGGGGAGCAGGAAGTTCTCTTTCTACCAACTTGTTCAATCCAGTTCGATTTCCCGATCGAATTAACAATTCCCAAGGATGAGAAAAAAGTTGAAGGCGGAAGAAGAGACAAAGTGTCGAAGAAGGACACGAAGAAGGACGGGAAACCTATTCCTTAGCGAGACTATTCGGTCCCGCGGCCGCGTGGTCGTGCTCGTAACACTTGGGCGCGATATTTCACACTAGTCGGCGAAGACGAGCTGAAGACTGACTGCTGACATATCGTCGTCTCTGTTCCACGTTTTTCTTTTCTCTGTTTCCACGATGGTAACCGTCCAATCGATGTCTGTGCACAGTTCTCCTGTTCCTTGGGTGCTAATTAAACTCTAAATTAGGAAAGCTCTGGGGGCAGCATGGCGGCCCTCGAGGCCTCAGAGGCAAAATCGTCGATTGGTCATGAGGATCCATGGTTTGCCAGAGCGATTTCACTGGCGGTTAGATTCTTTTCAAAGATAGAGGACATTGGTCGCCGCCTTTCCTACGTTTCTTCGGCCAATCCATGCACGGGACCATTTTACGATTCCACGACGGTTGGTCGATCCTCTTGAAAGCACGAGGCTTGCCAGTCCGCCCACGCGACAGTCGTAGGCAGTCGTCTTCGCTGGTACGCGCGTTCCGATCACCTCGAGCTTGCGATCCTCGATCGATCTCTCTTTCTTCATCGTGGACTCACGATTTGTTTGCTCGTTCGTGCGTTCGCTGGTTCACGTTTGACGAGTAGTCGGTGATTTTTTCCTTTATGATCGAAGTGTAGCGAATACAAGGTCTACCAATTGTATACATCGATTAAAAATCATCCTGATGGAAGAGACTATAAAACGATAATGGGACCAGCAGGGTGGAACAGCGGAATATTGTGGTAAATCTTCGTTTTCTGAGCTCCTACGGAAGTGTTATTTGATACTGTGTGATTTAGAGACTTCGAATATACTTCATGGAGAAAAAATGAAGAAATCAACTGCAGAATGGTAATTCTTTCTTCCCATATATATTAATTGAAAGACTATTTGATCTAGTGAGTTTATCCTTCATTGAGACATCAATCTTGTCTTCAGATATCAGCTTCTCTTCTAAGATGAACTGCTCTTTGAAACGTTTAAACCGGTCCAGTTCCTATTCTGCAAAAAGGAAATACTAATTTATTTTTTGATATTCTTGTAAATGAAATATTATTTAAGGGAAGATTAGATATCAGCGTGTATACCTAGAAGTATGATTATCTTTCCCAAGACTATTTCAAGACTATTCCAAGACTATTCGTTTCTGAAAAACGTCAGAAGATTGTAGCTGCAAGCGAAACAGTTAACCATTTCGATGGACAGACAGTCTGACTGACCATTTCGAGTCAAATGACAAAAATCAACAGCAAGTTACGTCCAACTGGCCGATGTATCGCGAGTAGATATTTGAGCAGGACCGTTTCTTGTTTGCTATCGTGCGCGGTTTTGGCTGGTAAAGTAACCATTCAGCCCTGACTGATATTTGTCCTAGTAATTTTGTGGAGGGAAAAGTCGCGATATCGGTGCTGCGAAGCCAAGAAGACGTAACGGAGAGTTATCTCAGTTAAACGAACACCATGTACCATCGTCGTCCTTAATTTGTTCAACAGTTGTCTGTGCGCCTCTGTTATTAGCAAAATCGATACCACGTGATGGTGACTTTCAAACGAAGTCAAGGAAGAAATATTCCACTTGCAATTTTGTCATTTGTGAGTCTTAAAACCCCTAAAATTATAAAAAATCTTGATATCATACAATTTATAATCATCATGTCAAATCAAAATAAAAATCTTTCTATCTTACCGTTTTTAATTCTCAGGATCTCAAAAATGATCTCCAAAAATAAAGTATCCGAACTGTGTAAAATCTTTGAATAGTTTTCAGTACTTCCTGGAACATCCTGCGTGATGCTATTGGATATTACTAATTCCTATTTATAATTCTTTTATGGATTTATTAGTCTGCTTAATTAAACAACGGGATAGTCATCGATATTGCATCCGACAGTTGCAATTCTGCGTCTTGGATGCATCAACGGTGGCAATAAAAAGAAAATACCTTTACCTCGAAAATCCTACGCGTTGTTCACTGGTTGTACGACTCGTTTATGATACGGATATCCCGTCCGTCACTACCTGCCGGTTAGGTAGCTCACCTGACGGATTGGGAGGTCCACGATGTTCGTGTATCGCGTTTGAAGAATGCCGCCTTCTGCTGGCTCATCTATAATAAACATCCACGATTACGATCACCCTGATAAACCATCACCGACGGATAGGTCTTTGTTCCTCTATTTACAAATTGCATTCTACCGGTGGATTCTTACACAAAAACGGAAGCGATTAATTCCTTTTACCGATCTCCGACAGGCTCAAACACTTTCTTTTCTGTTCTTTCCTTCATGAATGAAATTTCTGGATACATAGTGGAATTCGTTTTGGCGGATTCTCTTCTTTCTTCTTTTACAATGAGCTATCTTACACCGAGGTATACTTCTTATCGAGTATAAACGTTAATCAATTCTATACTTCTAGCTTTAATACTATTGTGGAATTATACTCTAGATTTAATTTATGAATCGTATATTTTCTTCAACTTAAGTGGAATGTACAAGAGAACGTGGCATGCTTATTATCTTTAATATCTTCTAATTATTAATCTATTAAAAGTTACTTAAGAGCGGTAGAACGTATTGAAAGGAACAATTGTATAATTATTTAATGAGTTATATGAAGCAGAGTAAATAGATGATCACGAACTAAACAGAATTCTTTTAGCGACTTGTATAATATCTTCCTGCATCCATAAATTTTGTTCATTTTTCAAGAAATATTCTTACTGATGAAGCTTAGCGTTAGATTATAAAATATTAGGTATATTAGCGTGATCTTATCAAACGTTTCCATCTTTCTTCTCAGAAGAGAAGCTCAAATGTTTCGGGGAACCGTTCTCCATCTTTAAAGTCTTACGAGCTTTGTTATCAAAGTCATCATCCCCTGAACTACTGCGGCTGTTCCGATTTCCATTGCTAGATGTACCGATTATTACGTAGCTTCCATCATCTTTTTCGCTCACAAAAGATTCGTAATTCTCTCGTTGATGAAGAATTTCCGACGGATGGGTCATCGTATTGCTTTGACAGAACCATTCTTTATCTCTTGCGTGATGGGAGCAGTCCAAAAATGTCGTACAATTCTACAGATTTTTATGTAAATTGGTTTTATATATATACATGTTAGATATTTAATTTTTCTGTGTAACTTGCATCAAATTAACACTAGAACTACCGACCTATAATTTACATATTACGTACATAGACAGTAATGATTAAAATAGTGTAATGACAATAAACAAGCGTATACAATTGTTTGTATTTAAATAAAAATTAATATCAACTTTTCCATGCAGCTGCATATTTTGAGTAATTACAAAAACAGAAATCTGAAAGAAAATATTCTGGTCCCTTTGGTAGTTTTAATGTTAGTGATGTTTTGTATAAATACTAAGTATTCGATATTTGTATACATAATATGTATCAAATTTTCAATAAAAAAAATGACAAAATTTTATATTAAAAAAGATTTGTATCGGACACGATTGATCTTGTTCGTTTTAATTTTTAGCTCATCGAATTATTCCTTACCACAACGTTGTCCGAAATTCTGGATACTCCGCATCTAGATTGAGTGGCGAACCAGCAACATTCTTCTGGCATAATTCGTGACAAAATCTCTCCACTTTCCGTGATTCTGTGAATGGCAGCTGAGGTTCCAAGGATTCCACAGGATCTTGATGAGAAGGGGAAGATGACAGGAGTGGAGAGGTAAGTCTTCGGAAGTAGCTGAAGAAAATAAGACAAACTTCATAATATTTGACCATTTTTCATTTTACTTTTACTTCTTTACTGTCGTATAGACATCCGTTTATTTTCATTACACTGCTTACGATCGATCTTTGTTTAAACATTTCCTCGTTTCCTCTTTTAATCTCATTAAAGGACTTTGCTCCTTAAGCTGGTAACGTGTTCGAATTAAAAATGAATTTAAGCTCAATAATACCGGTATTATTGTGGTTTCGTGTACATAATGTACGAATAAAAGTATGTTCGTCATCATTAAGTTTCATTCTGTCTGCATTAACTCTATCAGTTTTACTTTTCATTAGATTTTCTCTGTTATTCTATCTCGATGAAAGAGTCAATAACATGTATACAAATTGTATCAATTTAAAATCGTGAATATCGATGAGACACTTAGTTCTCATCGATTCGATAATGTAATAAACCTGATCGAGCTTACGTTTGCTCTTACAAAGTTCAGAAACTGATAGAGTTAAAACTTCGCGAAATATATTTTCTTTTTTTTTTTTTGCGTTGGAATTTGATACTTAATAACACGAGCCTTTGTAAGGACTTTTCTCACCAACTTGGCACTTATAGGATTTAAGAGATGTACAGTGGTTCATAATGGTTTCTCGTTTCTATACATTTCGATCCCTTAACACGTTCCTTAGCGGTTAGAATGAATAGGTTGCTAATAATTAGACAGAAAGTCGTTTACGAGTTATAATACGGGTTAAGTTTTGTTAGTCGCAATCGTTTTGACATTGTTCTCTAACTTCTTTTTTTCCGTTTCTCTTTTCCTTCAATAGTTGACCTTTTTTTCTTCTTATCCTTTTTTTTACCATTACTACCTCTACACTTAATATCGTTGCCAATAATGAAACGCGGATTATGATTTATTCGTCCTTAATCGTAAGACGTAAGTCGTAATTCTATATTACAGTCTGCATTGCCAACAAGACAGATCAGTAAAGTAACAAAATTATAAAAATTTTCAATTAATCAACGCATCGCTAAAATTTCGTCATAGGATTCACGTTGTGGAGACGACGAGATTGGCGTGATAGAATTCAAGAAACTTCTTTGGTTGTCTTAACTTTTGTTCCATTATGAGATTCTGGTAATTTTTTCGAAATATTAGGTCCATCTTTTTTCACTGTTAAGATATGAAATTAACTGTAAATATATAATACATATGTTATATATCACTGCATCTTTTCAATATTTATATTAATGAGTATAAATATTTTACATTAACATTCTTTGTATTAATAAAATTTCTGAAGGTATTCAAATGTGAAATTAATTATGAAACGTAATAAAAGAATTTCTCTTTACTCTCGCTACATATTCTTATTACTTTTATTAAAGAATAAAGAGGAAGATTTCGAAAGACTGGACCTCGTTGAAATGGTTTACGCTCTTACTAATATTCCAAAAGTTAAAACAACAGATGATCGATTGTTGTAGACAAATAATTACGTGTATCGTTAAAATTTCTTACAGAATTTTTCCCATTTTTATCACAACTCGTCTTTCCTGACGTCGCGACGATATTCAGCGTTACCCCGCTGTGTTTCACTACAAACTACGATCATTTAATTTTAAAACAAATCACAGCATTTACGTCATTTCATGCTTCTTGGATATTCTTATACATCCAAGAACAAAAAAGTCGAATTTTACCATCGTTAAGTGCTTCAATAACGCTCAATCAATATTCATTATAAACTTCAACCTGATGTTCTATTGAACAATGATCGCACAATGTTCAATTTGTTTGCTCGATGGAATACTAGTTCTTCGTAATGAAAAACATAGTATTCCTCGTGAATTACATTTATTTACTTTCACGTAGATTTTCGTTTAACACGCTCCATGTTATAGTAATTAAGAAACTTAATATGAAATAATTGTAAAAAAGAAGAAGAAATTGGAAGAAGGTATTCAACAGTTTTTGCTTTTAGCTACCATATTCTAAGATTTTTCTTATTTGGAATGTAGAAGTATGATTTTGATCCCATTAAAAGATTAATTAGAAGATAATTAATTTTATGAAAGAGTAAAATGTAATTCAACATAAATCAATGCATTTTCGAAATATATTTTTAACGATATCAAGAACTGTTCGCGTTAAATAACACTGAACATGTTAAAGAACATTTCATGTTTCAACATGAATTCTTGCCTCTTACTCGAAGCAATCGAGCGAATGGAATGAGGGAAAGATTTCATACGCGATAAAATACGTGGGACGTAAGCGCGACGGTGAACGCGAAATAAAAGCTTCTCTTTTAATTTGGTCCCATTATAGGTACAGGGTAGCTGGCACGAATTATGTCAAGTCGATGTACCGATAGATCAATCAACACAAATCACAGGTGTCTGCACGGAATTCAGAACTCGATTATGGAGAAAAATGCAGATTTCAAATCAGATTAGAAAATTGTTTTACAGGTGTTGCTATTTGAGGTATACAAGATCAGTTTTACGTAAAAAAATTTAAGTTAGATACTAGAAGTATAATTAATGAAATAAATACATCGTTGGATATAATATCGCATTGCCAGAACGTTGATGCTGAAATCCTAAAAAACGTTTTTCCTTGCTATATATATTTTCAAAAGGTCCCAAAGTTACTGTAGTAAATGGAATATTAAATGTTAAAATGGATATATAAAAAATTCCAGTAAATGTTACGTGCCATACTTTTGAGGTTGCATTATAACTACAGTCTTACTGTCTACAGTCTTAAAAGTTACAAATTTCTCGTACGAGCCGATCGTTTCACTTATTTTACTGCATTAACATGCTGAACTTGCGATATTTTCGTTCTCTTCTTTTTCTTTTTTATATTTAATATCCATTTGCAATCGAATAAAGGAGTTCTGAATGTAAAATTACAATACCGTGCATCCCCTTCAGAAATACATATTTTTCACGAGTAGAAGAATGTGTATTCGTCGGCTTCTCGACTTCCTACATTCGCAATATTAATGTTCACTTTTATTTATACGTTTCTCCGCGCGGCAATACGTGTTGCCTAAATATTCTACTAAATAACTTATATACCTTTTCGTCCCGCGTTTTCGTTCCTCCATTATACATATAAGTACAATATGTATATATATATTTATATATATGTATATATATGTATATATATACACACATATATATATATACTTCTTTAAATATATATTTAATATATTCATATAATTCATCGTCGGTACACTAATCTTGTGTATCATCGACGATATTTAACAACTTGATGGAAGGTGTCGATTAAATACTTTCATCGACACATTTTGATTATATTTTTTTTTTCCAAGTTTGAGCAACCCACAAATTGTTAATATTTTACAGTGTGTTTGTGTTATCAGAATAAATCTATCAAATAAAATACTTTTAAAATATTTTAAATAATATTCATTATTTGGAATGCTCTAAATGGTGAAGAAAGAAATGGAATTGATATATGTCGTTTTTTCTTTAGAGTGATATGAGATATCTTTCGTAAATATATTTGTATAATATATAGATGTAAGTTGCTCAATTTAATAGTTGACGTACGAGACTCGTAAATATCGTGCTACTTTTGATTAATTTTTCTTTTTTTTTTCTTTCTTTGATTCGATCGAGAATTTTGAAGACCTCCATTACTTCCACAGTCCTCTTAAAGGCACAATCTCGACAAACATGCATGTAGTTTGTCGGGACGTTTCGTACGCCATTTATAATCTATCTCCGACGAGTTTAACGCATAATGTTTGTCGCATAATGTTTGTACAAATAGGAGAAATCCATCTTATTCAAGAAGTTGACTTGAATAACTTGAACAACAGTGATTCTTTCTACATGTACAAAATATTATCGAGTTACTTGAACGTCGGAGAAAATAATTTAATCCTACAGACAACTGAACATAATTTACGTTCGCAATGAATCGTTAATTCTTTCGGAGGGCTAATTATTTAGAATCTATAAATAAATACGACATTCATAGATTCGTAAAAAAATTCTACGTTACGTGCAACTTCGTTCATAATTTAATCATACACACAAGATTGAAAATACTCTTGATCAAATTTGTAAATGTCTACGTACAAGTACACACCACAGAATATACAGATTTTTAATCACCCTTTTCTATTTCTCTTTTATTCCCTCGGACGCAACAGTTCAAAATATTTTCATAAACCACGGTATCCAGAAAGGAAATTATGAAAATGCTTCATACTTCTGAAAATGACTAGAATTAGTCTCTGTCTGACTTCCAAGTGGGAAATGCTTCAGCCCACGAAAGAATTAAAGATTCGCTTAAATTTCGCTACCTATAGCGCCTACGTGAGGACTATGCCAGCGAGGAATACTTGGCTGGCTGCAATACATGCCCATCGACGTCGGAGCGACGAGGTCGTTGTTCGAGTCGTCGAAACTTGCCTCCTCGCTGTCGTCGCCGTCGAAAGACCTCACGGTCGTCGTTGCGGTCGTAGTAACCACAGACGTATCGTGCGTCGCAGTGGTGACTGCGGCTCCATTTACTTCTGATATACGATCCGTACTTACATTAGTACTTTCCGTGTCGGTGACTTCCACGCTTCCGCCGCTCTCACCCACCATATTTACGAAAAACTCCGATCTAGAGAACCTGCCGATTTCCGTAGAACCGAAAGCTTGGTGAAAACCAGGCAATGGTTGTTTGCTAATTATCTTCTTCTTTGGCTCGAATCTTTCAGTGGACCGGCGAGATTCACGCTCCTTTTCACGGGATATGCTAGGTTCCTGATGATGATTTAAAAAAAAGTTAGTAATTAATAATAAATTAGGGAGATCAATGGCATACCGTTGTTGCAGCTAAGTTATCCATAGACATTCTGTTATTCATAGCATTTGGTTCCCACCTGGGCCCATCATCTTCACGACGAATCCTCAAAGTGGATGCAGAATCCATAACGGAATTTACCGAAGTTTCAAGTAATCTTGGCATCTAAAAGAATTTTCCGTATCTTGACGAAATGAGAAAATCTTATTTTTTATTTCATAATAGTAGTGTTTTGATATCTATACTTCATTATAGAGATATCTAATATCCAACATATAATCTATATCCAATATATAGAATGAAAAAAGAAAAACCTGGTGTTCAGGAGGAGTGTACGATGCTCGTACATTATCAATATCAATTTTGTTTGGGTTGTACACCATTCTTGCTGCTTCTTCGGAAAATTCACAATGTCTAGCAGGCAAACGGTCCCGTAACAAAACTGTGTGTCGTGGTCCTCGAACTCCAATGTTTCGAGGTATAGGTGCAGTATCTATAAAATCACAATGAAAACTAATTCAGTTTCTGTTAATTTTATAAGTTTTCCATCGGATTTTATTTTTTCTTACGTGGTAATACGCCGTGGCAAAATTGCCCCCATGGTCCATGTCCATGTGAACTCGAGCTTTGAATATTTGGATGAAGAATGTTGTTCATCTGAGAAGGATGAGTTGTTCTGGAATGTTGGTGAGCACTTCCGCCATTCTACACTCAAACATTTATAAAAATGTTCAAGACAATAAGTTGTATTTTACAGAAATCGAAAAATCTAAATTTATTATCAATTCTATAGTTTATTCGTTAAAATTAAATTCATTTTTAATAAATTAAAATAATTTATTTATTAAAATCGTTTAACCTGTTTTCTAAATCATCTTATATTTAAATTCCAAGAAAAATGCTTACCTGATAAGGGTGCCATTTCTGACTATCAGTAAATTCATTATATTCCATATTTTCATGGCGACGTAAGTCTCTTTCGCGATTAACATCGCTGAAATCAACCGGATATCCGTTATTCGGAAACGTAGCACCGCATTCAGCGGCTACAGTGTTTGTTACACTGGCCACCGCCTGATTTCTCATCACATCTTTGCATTTGTCGAGACGCTGATGCATTGCACCCATTACTTGCAGTCTTTCGATAGGGTCAGCCACATTGCCGTACCAATCGGCTATTCGAGGTGAGTGGATCGGCTTTGGACGAGACGTTGACTGAAACCATGGCTCTGCAACTCGATCCGATTCTACAGACGTATTCATCGGTAGGTTGGCCGCTGACACACAGCCGAAACGGTGCTGATGATCCAGAAAGCCGCCGGAAGTGACTGGACTGGCGATCACGCCTGCTCGAGCGATCGCGCTCTGCAAGATCGATCGTCTGGATAGTTCGCGACTCTGTTCGCGCATCGCCTTCCGTAGCCTCGCCTCCTTGGGATTGTACACGTAATCTGTAGAACAGGTAAATGCATTGAAACATTGACATAGAAATTTCATTTTTGCAATACATCGAAGTATTTAATTTCACAAATCAAATCATACAAAGAATATTATTTCATGTCAAATAAATTTGAAATTATAAAATGACACAAAAGTAACGTAATTATATTTTTATTACTAAAAAGAAAACTGTTAGAAACGAGTGAGTACAGTAACTTTGTTATTTTTGTATCATTTTCTACAGAGAATTAGACAAGAAATACAAATTATGAAAATAAATCTTTTCATCAAGAATACTCGATCTTTTTAGATAGATTTAAATTCTTAATTTTTTATTAAAGTTTCATTAAATTTAATTTTATTGCTCTTGTCTCAAAAAAAATAAATATGAAATACGTAAAAATTGTATGCATTAATGTTTTTGTTGTATTTAGTTCGACGTGACTTCCACGCACGCGTACTAGATCTCATTGTTAGCCTATTTCCTAATAATCATTACAATTCGAAATTTAATGCACTGATGAGAATATAATTAAATTCTATTTAGTTTATTCTTGATTTTATAGTTTTATCAAAATTAATAACGTATTTATGCCGATAGAATTCCTTTCCATAAAATACATGATCTATACTTACAAACATTATTTTAATTGATTAACAATTTTAAAGAAATACGATAAATAGGAAAATAATTAATGTTTTGTATGAACAACAGATTGTTCATTGTTTCTTGGAATTTCTTGAACATCTACCTGTAGGATACGCAGGCGGTACAGTTCCGTTGTATCGCGCGCTAGTTTCGATCGCACTGGAGATCGGTGGTGGCTCGTAGCCGCCGTAATCTGTGCTCGCGTTATCATAGCAAAAGTAGTGCTGTTGTTGATAAAAGTGGCTCCCTGCCGCATAAGCCTCGACGTAGTTGCAGCAGTCCATCTTTGCGACCAAGGGCGGTCCTTATCGCTCCGCAAAGAATGACTTCTTTACTTCCCGAAGCTTATCAGCCACGTTTGCGCGTTAAATCGTATCAAGCGAGCCTTGAACACATAACCAGAGGCAAGTTTACTTTTTCCACGGATGCTTCAAACCTTTCGAACCGAGTGTCTTTTTTTATTTGGAAGAATCGCAAAATTGGCCCCTTTTTCTTCTCCTTCTTCTATTTTTTTCTTGTAATTTGTCTTTCTTTTTTGGTTCTTTTTTTTTATTGTTTTATGATACACGTCATCGAATAGAGTTTACGTGGGAAGACCACGTAAGAGGAGGGTACATCGGGAGGCGTTCGATCGGCCTCCTGCATTCCGTCGGGAAGACCCAGCGTTTTTAGTCCCGTCGCGCGTGGCGTCATCGTCGTCCCCGGCGACGTTGTTCTTGTCCTCCTTGTCGTCATCGTTTACCCTGCGTAACCACTGATCTGATTCGTAGAGACTAGAGTAGCTTATTAACTATAGCCTCGTTGATCCTGTATCGCGGGCCACGCGACCCGTCGATTCCAGACTGAATACAGTTGGATGTATTGGACGAATCGCGTCATAGTAGCTGCATTGGGCGCAAGATCGATGCTCAAAGCTTTTTTCTCTCCTTTCAACACCTCCCGCACTCCTATTTTTCTCTTTTAATTCATTCGAGCGCCACGCATCTCGAATTCACGTTTCTCTGTCGGCAATCGATATCAATAGTTTATTTCCGTACTTATTTTGGCCAACTCAGTGATGCTATTTTCATTTGTTTAACACGGAATTTCGTCTCTAACCATTTTCTGTAATTTTGTTCCTATTTTTATACCGCGTTTCAATTTTATCTCTTGTTTTTCTAATTTTTACAAATCCTTCCTGAACATATTTATTAACCAACGAGGCCTATATTCGGAATTCATTTCTCTTTGAACAAATCTGTCTATTCAATTTCTGTGTACTTCATTTACTCAACTTCACTCGAATCATACCGATTCACCGAAAAAACAACCAACCACGGACACCTAATCTCCATTGCAAAACTTCAATGTTCAACACACTGATCGTTTTTCCTTTCCAATCATTTCCTCTTTCACAATGTTTATTCAGTCACTTCGACTAAATCTGAACGAAACACTCCAAGCAATTAAAAGCCTCTATCACCTTCATATCAAATTTAGGTCCTTTCCGTTCAATTTTCGCTTTTCATTGTCACTTTTTCGACAGCTTGATCACCATCATAAATTTATCTCTATTCCTCTTGATCCCCTTTGGCTATTTACTCTTCAGCTAGCGCGTACCAAGCGACCTATTTACGCGAGCGTCTCCCGCTATCTGACTAATACTCCTCTGGAAGAGTCGCGCGTGCCGCAAGCGGGAACGACAGGCCGCGCACGGGAGACCCGCGTTCCTGCCTCGCGGTGCACTTGGGTCGCACTGATTTTGCGAGCGGCAGCACTGTGCACGTCGACGAATTTACGTGTGCGTTTCGTCATCGACGAATCCGACGAAGCTCAAGGGAGAGAGAAGAGGGGTGGTCTAGCAAGAGGGTGGCTTTTTCCCCACCCTGGAAAGCGAGGAGCGTTTGAGCCACGAGGTGAACGAAAAGAGTTCCGGCCTCCGTCTCTCCGGTGTGCGCAAAATATCCAAGAAACCCCTTTTCGCCGCCTATCGATTTGTAGAAGCTTCCTTCTTGATCCTCCATCAGAGGATCCGTCTCACTTGAAATTGAACGTGTTTTTGTCCGAGAGGGAAGAGCTGATCGAGGTGTCGTGTTATTCTTGCTACCATCCCTCCACTCGGCAACTCTCATCGATTATCTAGAGTTCGAACTCGTCTTTTAAATGGATCGTTTGCGCCGGCTGCTGTGTACTGGTCCATATCGGCTTTCCTCAAATAAAATTATTATTAAATCGACTAATGCGTTATATGGCATAAATGCACATTACATATTTAGAATATACGTATATTTTGTTTACTTCGCATTAAAGTCCATTTGTTCTTCTTCTTCGTTTTGAAAATATTACAGAAAAAGTTGCATCGAGTCCCCTAGAATTCGAAAAGATAAATAAACCAAATAATCGCATAGTATTGTAAAATATTTTTTATCGTAAAGAGTATACCTGGTTACAGGAAAGTTCGTGCACAAGTGGAGATCCCCGTTTCTTACTGCACTTTGAAATTTATCTACCACGTTGCACGAGGACTGCTGCAATTTTTTCACCTTATTATACGGGGGCTGCGGCAATTTTTTTATCGCGTTATACAAGCACCTATTGTACTCATTTTGAGATGTATATACCAAATAATTTTCAAAGAAGCCATACGAAATTATCTTGTAAATTTCTCCGTAAGATTCTCTTTCTGGAGCTTAGAATTTCATTTCAGTATCTACCCTCCATCATTTTATATGACTGTTTAAAGATATTACAGTACATTAATTTTGCATTATAAAAATGAATTGTTCGTTCCAAGTATAGATCAAACTTTCCTTTTTTTTGTATGATACATTTTTCCAAAACCTTGTCACTCTAATTGCTCTGACATAAAAAATATATTTTAGCGATGTCTATATTTATTATTAATTTCTCTCTAACCATGAAATTTAAAATTCCAACCCTAATCAAACGTAAGACATAAACAATCTGATCGATCCTGAACATACTTTTCAAGGAAAATCCGTGTGACGTTCGCAACGATGGGAGGCTCTCGTTTTCTCGAGCAACCGAGCATCGCGTCGATGCGATAGCGGATCGATGACCGACGATCGTTACACATAGAGAGAGGAGAGAGAAACATAGAGTGAGAGAAAGAGGGAGAGAGAGTGAGAGAGAGAGAGGGGAGGACACTCCTCCCCCGCGTGTCTTTGGCTCGATATGCCCGCTGGATGCACGAGCCTCGACATTTTGACGGCTTCCCTTGGCGCGACCGTGCGTCACCCCTCTTTTTCCTCGTCACGCGTGCGATGCAGTCGCGCAGATGCACGCGAGTTCGCTCGCCCGCGTCCTCGGACGCTCGCGCAGAGCATATCGACACTTTCCGGTGATCTTAATTGACCACTCGGCTTGCTCGCTATGCGCTGGCCCGCCGTCGATTGCGCGACTACCGTTTAGCGGTGAATTTAGCCCGGATCTTTGCACCCCTTCGGGGTTTTCAAGCTGGAGGTGGCTATCGTTGCCAGAACTTTTACCGGCTACGCCTGGTCCTTTCTCTCTTCACCCATCTGTTATCCTCTTACAGGATATTTCCAATTAGAACGTTATATACTAGGATTCTGAAAAAAAAGAACAAAAATTTTTAAATATAAATTTTGAAACGTTCTTCTTGATAAATATTGTTAGGTAGCTGTATGTAGCTCAATTTTTTTAGTAAAAAATGAAGAAACTTATTAAAACACTTTTTTGGATATAGATATTTTACATACTTTGTTATGGGGTTAATGGCAATTTGCCATTCTTCTTTAATTGTTCTTGCATCGTAAAAATTTCATTTTTCAATGTTTTGATAAAACACTATTCACAATCTTTTTTAGATGTATATTTGACTCACACTTTTATCTTTAATGACACTTCTAATTTTATTACGTGTTTGTCTTTTCTCTTGATAATACCTTGTAGAGAAACTTCAATTTTTTACATTTATCACAATTCTGAAGCTTTTATTTTTTTATGGAAAAAGCTATTATTTAAATGATTATCAAGCGCTTATTTCACTAGTAGAAATGAATAAAAAGAATGCGTTGAAACAACTATTGAATAATACGATCGATCCATTTAATACGCAATTACTGTTTGCGTTCGGTATATCGGTTCATCTACGGCATTCACTGATTATTCGCTATTAATTATAACAGTTACAATAGTTGGATATGCGCGCCCTTATATCCTCCAACTACGAAACTGATCTAATATCACTCAATTCATGCAAGACAATACTAATGTGTCGGATCGTAGAAATGGCGTAACTAATAATCAATAATCAAAATAGCAATCGATTACGATGTTACCAAATTAATCATCGTATTAAAGAAAAAATTAGATTCGAGAAATATCGTTATATATCTTAAAATCGCAATCTTTGCCATTTTAAATGCGTTAATACTAAAACAGTGATACGTAGGATAGAATTCAAACTAAATTTCCTATACGAATACTTATGCAATAAGCCGTAGTTCGCCTGATTTCTACCCTTCCTACGAGTTATAGTCCCCACGATGAATGTACATGCCTCTTACGCTTTTTCGTTCTGAATTCCGTGATTAGCCAACAGAGGAGAGAGCGAACGATCGCGGGGGAGTTAAAATGCGATTATAGCTCGTCGATTTGTGGGTGGGATAGCAGAGCGATACGAGTTTTGCGGGTCGAGGTACAGGGCACAGGGTGGCAAGCGGAGAAATATTCTCGGGTGAGTGACGGGGAACGGGCGGGAGGGAACAGTAGAGACCGGAGGTATTGATTGCGACGCGACTCTAGGAACCTGCCCGATACACGACCGCGCTCTACCTACCTACCTACTACCTACACCCACCGACAAGCGCGATTATTCCTCACATATCCCGCGTTACTGAGCATTCACGCGACTAAATGTCCTCCGCGGCCTAGCTGCACGCGGACCGTCACTGTAAAATCTATGCAAACTCCTTAAATACTTAACGTTGATCATTAATACATTTGTGATGTTTCTTTTTTCTGATGATCTCATACAATATTTTTGCAGAACATCGAAGAAATCGATACTTTTGACTAGAATTTTCCTAAAAATTTAGGAAAAACATCGATGTTGATTATCGTTAAAAATAGAAATAAAAAGCTTAGTTCGTTATTGAAACTTTTTGAGAAGGATTATATTAGTTGTTATATAAAAAAAGGCATCAACTCTTTCTTTGTAAAACTTATAGGATATTTGAGAAATGACTCAATTCATTGAGATTTTTATTTTCAATAACGTATGCCATTATTTCATTTTACGGATAGGTCTAGCACGATGTTACCCTTTCTTTTTGTGTTTGTAAGGATACAAGAAACTATCGTGTACCTACCGAACGCGGGGCACGAACATTCAGTCGTATCGGTAAACTTCGACGAGCCGCTACAAACGCGAAAACGAGGTCATATTGGTTTGAAGAGAGACTATAGGCATAAAGCGTACCGGGATATTTCCTCTTGTGCTCCGCGTCCACTTCCCGGGCCAGGGCAAAGTATTTTTCCTTCATGTCTTTCGCCATGTTCTTCCAAAGGATTCCTAATCTGCAGAATATAAAATATTCTAATTTAGTACATATATTTCATGTATGTAATTATTTTCTAAGTTATTGAAGATACAAAAATGTTGTATTAACATTTTCCCTACCATTCAAATAAGGACACGTAACGTTGAAAAGAAGAAAGAAGTAATTAATATATTTTATTCGATAAAAATAAAATCAAAATAAAAGATAATGATCTACGAATTAATATTGAAAAAAAAGAACTAGCCTAACGCTAATGTCCTTGTTAGATTCCCGAGGATTCTCTGCAGCAAGCTTTTTACGCCATTCGTTGGCGAACAGCATGAAAGCGTTCGCTGGTCGTGGGATTTTTCGTTTAACTCCATTTGAATCGGCAATTCTCCCGTCGATGCATAGAAATGCCGGGAATCCTTCTGGACGTATCTGCGATCGACCGAGTTGCTGCAGCACGAAGATTTTCTCCTCGTCGTTTTTTTCACGATTACTGCAAATCTGCCTTGCCTCCACACGGATCTTCTTCCTTGACACATTCTCCTTATCGTTTTCCAAATCTTCGTCGGTTGTCGTCAAGGAAACCTTGAACACTCCTCCTTCAGATTTTTCTTTTTTACAATCCCCACATGATTTTTCGGACACATCACAGGGAAAAGAATTTTTGACGATTGCATCCTGTCTAGGGAATGGATTATCGTCACGATTGGAAAAAAGTTCACAGTTACTTAAATTTTGTCCCTTAACTTCTGTTTTAATTGCAGCTAAAAATACACATATAATTTCATTAATATTTCTCAGACATAAAATATTTTTGGAATTGATATTTTAATGTAACTATTTTGTGCATAATTATTATTTTTAAATTTAAATAATATTTATAAAGCGGAGTAAATAAATTCACAAAATAAAATCTCAAAATATCATATTAGTGACTAATTGGAGCAAGATTTCTGATAGTAAATAAATCGAATGAGTATTAATTCTTCGTTGTTAAAAATTCTGACAACAATAATGAATAAAATTCAAGAAAAAATCTTTATTTTGACTCTTACCTTTTTGCACGAGGTTTAAAATCAATTCAGAAGCATCCATGAGGCTCCTTTCTTTTGTATAGAGTATCAATAAATAACTATTAAATAATCGTATGTGTTCAACAATAAATGTCGGATATGAGACGTTTAATAATTACAAAACCTAACACATGAGCGTAGATTATATTTCGTTGTCGAGAGAGGCGCGTTGGTTGTTGAAAACACTTGAAAAATCGTTGCGAAACGATGCGTTGATTTTCTTCCTTTTATTTTTTGATCGGCCTTCTTCCATGACATCAACCGAGTATGCGTAATAACAGAAGATGGTCGTTTGTACATTCCTTCTTACTATCTTCATAAAACTGTTTTTCCAATAGAATGGTTTTAAGTAAAAGAGAAAGATCATGTTATGCGACGAAAATTGTTTATGCAATAAACGTGGCATAGATTACTATGGCGTACTATCATTGAAAAAAGACTGTGATGATTTAGAAATTAAAGCTGCGTAAGTTAAACCTTAACTTTCTTTATAATGTACTCTTTTTTTGTATCTTCTTTATCAATCGAATTGCATCAAGCTCGAATTGTATCGTAAAATGTTGTAAACAATGTTAACTAAAAGATAAATAAATTAAATTTTGTTACATATATTGTTTTAATTTTTAAATTAACTTACTTATGTTATTCCTTTCAGATTTCGGCGTTTAGCGATACGATACAATCCTAAGAGAGCAAGGGATGAGAATTTAAGCACTATTTTCGCTTTAGTAGCTGAAGCATACGATGTGCTTTCAGATCCCCTTAAAAGAACCATATACGATCAATTCGGCGAAGAAGGCCTTAAAAATGGCGTGCCTGGAGCTGAAGGATTCATTCAACCATACATTTATCATGGAGAACCGATAAGAACTTATAGGTACTTTAATTAAATAATTATCACAAAACATTTCTTTTTAATACCTATAACATAAAATGTTCTACTAAATATTTAATTAAATTGCTAAAGTAAATAGAATAAAATGTATAATACTTTTTATTTTATTTCATTTTTTTGTATTTTATGATACTCTTTTGTTATAATGCTTCGCTGTTACCTAATTTAATGACATGAAGTATAATATAGTTAAACTTAACAGTCACTTAAAAACTTTGAATATTTACGATCCGATCTATCTACACCTTTCTCATCAAGAGTATCTCTACAGGGAATTCTTCGGGACCGAAAGTCCTTATGCTGATCTACTCTACGTACTAACGCAGTCTCCGTCTCTGCTCGAATTTCCCGAGGGGAGGGGTATAAAGTGCAAGGAAGAACCTCTGATAAAAACCTTGTACCTAACCCTACTGGAGGTATCATATCGACGTTCTGCTTATTTATAATTTTCTTTCCTCAGTGTTAATTATCAAGTAATCAACGTATAAGACATTGGAGCGAACCTTATACACTTATATATATATTCTCATAAATTCATTTTACCATTCATTAGTATGCTAATTTCCATATTAATTTTCTTACTTACATAATTAGTCAAGTACACATATCAGAATAATCCTTCATTTATACTAATAAACAATTCTAATAGCTAATTAAACCTTTTTATCAATAGGTTTTTCTTGGAGGAATTAAGAAAATGAAAATACAAAGATTGGTATTGGTAGGAGATGATAAATCTAAAACGATAGTAAAAGAGAAGATCTTAACAATACCTATAAAACCAGGCATTCCGACAGGAACAAGGATAGTGTTTCCAGAAGAAGGCGATCAAGGACCCACAAAAATTCCTGGTAAATTTTTAATATTAATTAGAGAAAGAAATAATTCCGTTAATAACATATAGTTAATTTTAACTCATTTCAGTCTGTTGAAATATAAATATTTATTAATTTTCGTAATATGTTTAGAAATAAAATCAAATTTTGTACGATTATCGCTAATTTCTCTCTTTATGAAAATTTATTATCGTTTTTTCGCTAATATTGATTCATATTTTACAAAGGATGGGTTTAAAATGCATCGTACATTTCATGGCAGACCGAAATGGGTTAATCGTGGTAGTTCGCATAATATCTTTACTCAGTCTAAAACACGTCAGTGTAGCGGATGTAATCTTCATCACGGAGGACCGGCCTCACGAGACCTTCCGAAGAGAGGGCTCTGACTTGCACATAACGGTCGATATCTTTCTGCGAGAGGCACTGACCGGAACAGTGGTCACCGTCAACACCCTCGACGACAGAACCCTTCGAATACCACTAACGTCTGTCATCACGTACGTGTCTACCATCTTTGTCCCTGATCTATCCTTCCTACGTTCCATCTACACTCATTTATCAAACAATTACTTTACATTTTTTGGAATCGATACTGAAAATAATTATGATTGTTAGAAAATTAATTTGAAAAAAAGAAATTATGAAAAAATGTTAAACGATATGTTTGTATAAAAAATTTATTTATTGATAATTCAATGTTTTTAATTGTTTACCTGTTTTATATTATATAATTATCGATTGTAGATATAATAACTGATATTCCTTTTTCGGTATCAAATAGACCAGACTGCAGAAAAAATGTACCTGGTGAAGGATTACCACTACCGGAAAATCCAAAGAAAAGAGGAAATCTAATCATAACGTTTAAAATTGAATACCCAATATACTTACCGGTATCAAATAAAAATTACATTAAACGAGCGTTTGATACATCAGAAGATATCCGAGATACGGAATATGTTCATCGTCTTATATTGGCCAATAAAATGCGTAGGAACATGGATTTTGATGTTGCTGTGCGGAGAGATCCCAATGATTACGAAGCAAAAGAATTAGACCTTATATGTAACACTTAATTTTCCTATTCTTTTGTAACACTTAACTTCCTGAAAGATATTAATAACGCAATTTAATTTTAGATGTATATACAATTTATTTTGTAGGAAATAAAACTATATATTATTTAGATACGTATACTTAATATCATAGGCACCACATAATAATTACCTACATAATCACTGAACAAAATTTCATTTAATTTTCAAGTTTATTTTGTTTGATTCTCAATACCTCCCTTATGCATATTTTAGAATTTTTATTTTATCAAAATTTGTTAATTTAATTTTTCTAAGAAACTAATTCTTAATATTTAAAGCTATATTGAAACACAATCTCTATCATTTAAGAAATTTCAAATGGAACTGCTATGAAACCGTTATTAATTGCAAGTACTGCGCTCTTGCGGTGCAACGGATAACTTCTATTATAGTAAAATTGTCGTGCGCAGTCAATAATCTGTTCTGATCTTACAAATTCGTTTTTTTCTCCCGTTCGTATCATTTTTTCGGAATTTTCATCGTTATTCAATTAAACTAGTTACTTGATTCGTAGAAAGTGAAACAAATTGTGGCAACGAAAGACAAAAAGAGTTGGAAAACATTCCATTCAATGTTGACCGAATGAGGCCCGATAATCTCGAGCAATCATATGACTCCTCCGCACGTGACTTTATTTACAGTTGACTGATACTCGCGAACATGTATGGTGCAGTTCCTTGTGACATGATAGACCGAAAACGAAACAAAGTTAGCGAGCAATGCGGTAGCTATAAGCGGTCGTTCGTTTATGATGCCTTTGCTTGATAAGCTGTTCCCTTCGAGGAAGAGTTTTAAAAACAACGTTCAAACCCTTGTAGCATCAAACACCGAAACAGAAGATGATAGGTGAGAACTGCCCATTTTTTTCGGGCATACGTCGTTATTTATCTTCATTCAGCTTGTTCGTTCATGCCTCTTTATATCATCATTGTTCTATATTTATCGATCTTATTCATTGCTTCGATATCTATTGCTGACATAGCGTATCGATCATCGATGCTTTCCACATTGTTTTAACAACTATTGTATACTTCTTTTGTTAAGGAAGATCAATTTTTATTAGAAGGAAAGAAGTGAAATATTTTAATTTTGATTTTTTTTTAGGGACAGTATTTTCATTCTACCTTAACCTATTTTGTGTTAGGTTCATTTCTATTCGCCTGTTGGCGGGAGACATAATCTCATCGTTACTAACATACTCGTGACTTGGCTTGTGCATCGAATCGTGAAATTGACCTCTATATTAAATCTTTACGAATAATTGTTCTAAACATTTTTAATGTATTTAAACATTTACACGCATGTAAATTATTTTTTATATTAACCTTTAATGAAATAAAAATTATACCTTTAAAAAAAAATTATACTTATTAAATAATTTAAAATAAATATTAAATAAAAATATTTATTAAGTAAATTAAACTATGTTATATCTTATTTACATTTTTAATGTATAATGTAAAAATTGTTTTTATCAATAATCGTGGAATTTTTATAAGATTTAAAATTAATACTTGTTATAGATTAAAAAGTTATGTAAGAAAAACTAACTATATTATTTCAGTATAATATTAGAAGATCACAAGTTGAAAGTAAGACATTATTTTGTATAACTTTTCACTATATAAAGTCATATTATTTACTTATAATTTAATGTAAAAATATACTGTTTTTACACTATTTACTATTGCATATTATTTTACAGTATATACTAATTCTTATATTTTTAGGAACTACGCGCTATGCATTGGAACAGGTCAAGTTCGCATTTTATTGTTTCGCGAATGCGAATGGCGTGGAAGAAAACTCCTTTTTGATTCTCTTTCCTTGGAAAAAAGATGGTGCAAAAATAAAACAGCCACGTTCAATCTTAAGCACAACACCGATTCATCGAACGCCGACTCAATTAGTTTTGGAAGCAATCGCACTTTTGAAGTAACGAATAATTATTGAAAGAAATTTATAATTCAATTTTAGAGATGTAATAAATTTTATAGTCAAATAAATATATTTTAGCGAGAAAGAACAGCCGAAGATGATGTGAGTCTGTTAAGCGAAATGGTGTTTGGTACCGTAGCAATGACGTACAGAGGATCCTCATTTAAGGTGAAATATGAGAGCAATGTATTGATATTAAAACAGTATAATATCAGTATCTTTAAAAAATACAAAATAAATTCATTTTTATTTTTAAGATCCATTCAATGAACTCCCCATCGTGTATCATGTGCACAAAAGTCTTCCCTGCTACAGAGCACAATATATGTAAACAGAGGTAAGTTTATTCGTTCGTAATAAAACAATTATTATTTTTACGCTACGATTGATATATAGATACAATATTTGATTTATTATTTCATCTTATTGCAGCGAAAAAGTCTCGGACGAAGGATTAGGTCGTTCTGTGAATTTAGATTCTAATTCCAGTATGCGAACGCTTTGTAGGTACCACCTAAAGAATGATACTATAGTGCATTAATTTAGATAATCTTTCAACTAAGATAAGATATATATATATATAATATCTTATTATATATAATATATAATATATAAGCTTATTTTTTCAGTATCCCGACCTAGTTCTGGAAATTTATCAGGATCCGAATTAAATGCTGGTGTCAGAAAAAATTCTACTTGCTCCAGTACCGGTAGTGGGTGGGATATAGACATTCCGCCACCGACAGGGAGTAAGTTTAATTCAAACAGAATATGTATATCGATTCAAACCGAACTAGGAGCGACCCCTTGTCGGAAAATGCTCATTATTCGGCATGTAATACTCTATTGATTCAGGTTCACAATCATTGGAAAGCAATGGTTCCTCTGGTATCGGTAGTCTTTCAAGTTTGCGACGAAGATGGTTACGAGCAGCTTCCACTTCTTTAGCACGATCAGATTCTGATGATACTTTTGGAATGCAGTACTGGACCGAAAGTGGAACTGATAACAAAGATAATCATGTTAAACGTCATAAAACAAGGCTCGGTTTAACAATGTTAGTGCGATTGGCTGAAGGTCACGAAAGGTTGGAACTTAACTAAAAATTATTAATGAGCATTTTATTATTGAGCAATTATCTTGATTTCGTATACCAATTCATTTTACATAGCAATTTATTGCATTAAAAGTACAACAATTTAAAAAGTAACATTAACATTATATATTTATTTTGAATTACAGAAGAATAGAGACTTGTTTATTAGAGCACATGGCTCTATTAGAAGGAATGTTGGATCGTTTACGATATTTCTGTATCGAATCGGGTAGTATCAATGCTCAAATCAAGGGAATGCAGCTTCCTGAACGACTCTATAGATCTTCTTCTCAGTTTGTTGTTTCATTATTACGTTTACTTACAAATGTTAATGCAGATTTACACTCGCGCACACCCTTACTATGGCATGATGTGCTACTTAATTCAGTGAAAATAGAGCATAAGATGGGTGTACTGCATCATAGCTTGGATCAAATGTGTCAGTTACTAGATAATATCGACACAAAATCGACGAACTTGTAAGTGGAAAATATGGTAAATATTATTCCATTAGATTGAAACTAACACCTATGTATTTTAGTTTTTTAAGTACTGTTGTAACTGCTGTCTTAACATATCACCTTGGTTGGATATATACTACACTGCCAATCCACGATCGACAATTGGTAAATAATTTATTTTCTTCAAAAAATAAAGAAAAAAAAATGAAATTTGTATTATCAGATGTATCAATATTTTTAGATGGAGAAATTAGGTACCTGGTATCCTTGTAATCCATTATGGGCTCAATTAGGTGACTTATATGGCGCATTAAGTAATCCCATCCGAGTAGCACATACAGTCGTTGCGGCTGATCCTCAAAAAGTCGATTTGATCAATTCTGTTTTATTCTTTTTGTCATACTTTATTCGTAGTGGAGTAGTACAGAAACGACAAGAATATTGTTGTGTTACTATAGAGGATATTCAAGAAGCTGCAAATCTTCTAGAACAAGCGAGAATGAAACGTCCGCATTTATTCAGTACAAAAATAACATGTAATGATCGAGAATCTTTGACATCTCAACGCGTGTCACATACGTCTACTCGAAAAAAAATTTCCACACAAGAGACTTCCTATGATGTAGAAAGTGATAACGCCATTATGCAACGCTCTTATTCTCAATACAATGTTGAAAGGTTAAGAGTAGAAGGATCTATTAGCTCTCTTAAACGTAGCACCACGATGGAATCAAATCTTGATTCATTTATGTTAAAACCGGTAGAATCTGAAAGAGATACAAAATTTATTTTGAAAGAATTTCCCCGCGATGATGATGATAATGATAAGAATACTATTGATGATAAAACCTGCACATCAAGTAAAGTTAAGATAGTAGTAAGCGAAATTCCATCACAAGATATCAACATAACTAAAACTAACATGCAACACTCTTCTGAATTTTCACTACGAAATTTTGAAAAGAAGGTAGAAGATGATGACCTGGATGAAGTATTTACAAATTCTAAGATAGATACTTTCCAAGAATTCGACAATACATGTGTTGATACATTAAAATTATATTCTACTAGATCAGAATTTGAAACTGGTCAAAGTACAGTTAATGAGATGAAGAGTTCCCATGTTTTCTTTATGCTTGGTGAAGAAGAAAAATCTGTAAAAACATTATCACGACCGCGTCTTGGAAATAGTTGTCAATGCTCATATGTGTTCACAAGAGTACCAAGTACATCTGCACAGTTGCCAGAAGGTGTACTGAGAAAAATTATTCAGAGAAACTTTCCTGAATCATCTAAAAGTATCCATCCACCAGGAACACCTTCAAGATCTTTGGGATTTTGCCAAAGGTGTAATGGGCAAGGTTACATACCTTCACAAAATTATGATAGCTGCAAACAAGTTCTAGAAACTCCGACAAATGCAACAGAAGTATTACGTACTTGTGGTAATACTGTAGGTGATGGAAATGTTGGATTATCTAGATCAAATAGTTTAGAAGCTTTAATGGAGGCCAGCAGTGTTGTTGAATTACCTATGCCACGGTTAATATTGTAAACTATACTAAATATTTATTGCAGATAAGATTAATTGAAGATATACATTTTTTTAATTACAGGACAAAGAAAATAAAGAAGACTGATACACACCAGGATACAGGTTTTACAAGAACACTTTTACAAAATAGAATAAAAACCGAAGAATCACGGGGTTTAAATAATTTTGAACCATCCTATACATGGGGTTTAGTTTTACAAGGTTTGACAAAAAAAAAGAAAAGAAGAAAAAAGAAAAATATTCAAGAAGAACAGAATAAAAATGACTATGAAATAGATAAAGAATGGTGGTACTGCATACGTGAAGAATGTCTTGCCAGTGTACGTTTCCCGACTATCGATCAACCAATTGCCGAATCACTTTGTATTTTAGCAGATTTAGATACTTGGCATGTTGGAATCATATCTAATAATATGCCTTCACATACTACACCTTTACCAGTTGGGATGTCAAGACTTGTTGCCAATATGCTGGAAGGCTTTGTTTATTTATGGCGAAAATATCATTCAGCTTCTCAAGTAAGAAATTGTTCAATTTAAATTATCAAATACATAAAGTCTGGAATATATCAAAATATTTATTATTTAAAACAAAAATGATGTTAATAGCATAATTGCATTCTATTGCATTCTATTTACATTTTACCTTTCTTTTTAAAATTATAGTGTATAGCTATACTGGAAACAAAATTAAGAGAAATGTGGTTAAAAAGTGAGGCATTAGCTGAAATGTTATTAGCAACAGAAGTATGCGATGCTAGTATTGCAAATCTAACAAATGCTCTCGATCTTGATGCAGCAGATATACCACTTCTGCTTGCAGTTGCAACTTCTCATTCACCAGAGATAGCTCAAAGGTTTGGTCTCACACTTACTTAACTGTATCTCATTTTTATCATAATTTTTACTTTAGAATATAAAGCCCTTTTTTGTCTAATATAACAGAAGTTGTAAGGTATCTCATTATTTGTTTACAAAATATGGTTGTAGATTATTATTGTTTTATCGGGATATATTATTGGGATACTAATATATCTCGATGTATTAATATATCCCAATTCGTCCGTTCTTTAAATGAAAAAGGTACATGAATGTACAAAAAAATTTTTTAATTAATTGCGTTAAGATTTAAAACAAATGTTTGTATATGTTTTAAAATGTTTTAATTTATTGTGTAATATGTAAAAACGTTTAATTTGCATTTAAATATTAAGATTTAAATATGTATTTTATAATAAAAAGATTTTAGAATGTTTAAAATATTATTTAACTTATCAACATATTAATATTCAAGAACGGATTACAATATAGATATAATGATATTTTATGTACAAAAAGAGTAAAATATAGTCTTTATTAGAATAATTGAGGAACTATATGTTTAATATTATTTTTAAATTGTAAGTATATACATATGGGAACTATATTCACTTTTTTACACAACAAAAGAATTTAGATTTATACGCTCTGCAAGAATGAATAAAATTTAAATTAATTTTTGTATCTTTATATGTTCTGTTTAATATTATATTTTCCTTTTCAGCATTGATTATCAAAAACCAATAAAAGCAATGTTTAATAATTATCTTATTTTTATTAAAAAAGCAATTACTTTTATTTGTCATAATTTCACATATTTTCTATGTAGAACTACATTGAGTAGATTAAAGAACATAATATTCGTAAAAGGAACATAAAACAGACTTCTTTATGGAAGTAAATTGATTTTATTTTAAAATGTAATAAAAGAATATTTAGAACGTTTAACAATTTGATTTTATTAGTTCAGCAAATTGTAAAAATATTAAAAGCTAGACATAAATTCAGAATTATAATGTGACATTTCGTAATCGAAAAAAAATTTGCGGTGCATCTCACATGTAAAATAGATATTTGTTATAAATTACTGGTTTGTATTTACGATATCATCGATCTTTAATATACTGCGAACAGTTTCTGAAGCAAGTGTAATAGCACTTGTAGAAACTAAAAGAGGTTGAATCACCTTTTCCTCCAAAATGTTAGTAATCGAACCTTTTCGCACATTAATTCCGGCAGTATGTTCACCCTTAGCATGCCGATTTCGAAGTTCCGTTACAGTTGCAATGGAGTTTAATCCTGCATTTTCTGCTAGTGTCGATGGTATTACCTACAATATTCAAAAATATATATTTAGAAAACATGTTAATATTTGCTCGTTTCGTATTAAATATAAATTCCTTTACTATAGGTATAGAAATATATTGTAATTGTAACCAACCTCAAAAGCATTTGCAAAAGCTTTAATACAATAATCATCAACACCACTTAATGTTTGGGCATATGCGCCTAGTTTTAATGCAAGCTCTATCTCAGGTGCACCCCCTCCAGCAATTAAAGCTTTTTGTTTTACTAAACAACGCACTACACACAATGCATCATGCAACGAACGTTCTGCTTCTTCTAAAACCAATTTATTGCTTCCCCGTATAAGAATTGTTACTGTTGGACCAGGATTTTGTATTTTAGTGATCTGTAATATAAAAAAAATTAAATACCTATAACAAAAAGATGACATATATATTTTAAAAGAGATTAATTCTTTTTAATGCATTAACCTTAACAAATTTAGAATTTCCAGTCTGTACTTCTTCACATAATTCTGCATTAACAAGATTTTCAGCAACAAAATGATCCAACGATGCAATTGGTCTACAACCTAATGTTTTGCATACGAATGAAATGTCCTCGCGCTCAATATCTTTAATCACCATAACTTTAATTTTATCTAAAAAGTGTATAGCTAGGTCACTGACAGCATCGCGAAGAATAGATTTTTGTACCAACAGTACATTACAACCAGCTTTTTTAATTTGTTTTACAATATTTAATATGTAAGTTCTTTCCTCTTTCAAAACACGATCCATTGCAGCATAATCAGATACAATTACATTGTGATCCATCTGAAGTGACAAAAATATTCCATTCATATATGAGAATGAAGTTTTTTAAATTTACATATTTCTTTGTCCTATAGTACTCACATCCGTTTTAGGAGGAGAAATGCAGAACTGAATTAAACCTATTTTTGCTTTTTCAATACGTTTTGGTCCATTAACATTACAAGATTTTTGTGTAAATATTAATCCTTCTATAAGTTCAGTGTCTTCAACTGTACCACCTAATTTCTTGATTACTTTTATATTCTATAAATATATAGTAATATTATTAAAATATAAACTTAATGTTTATTTTATGTTTCTTATTTAATCTATTATATATTATCAATTTTCTTACATTGAGATCAACAATACTTTCTTTCTCTTCTTCTGTAACCTTTAATACAGCATCTACTGCCAATGGGGCTAAAAGGCTTGATTGTTGAAAGACAACCTAAAAAGGCAGAATTAAATATTATTATTATACAAGTTAATTTATGCATACAAATTATATACTTAATACAAATAGAATAGAGTAATATCATTAATAACATATATACCTTCGAATTCAGAGAGGTTGCTGCAGCTCTAATAAGTGATTGTTTATCTTTTAAATCAACAGGAATAGACATGTTTGTTAGTATTTCTACAGCTTTAGCTGCAGCCTTTTGAAAAGCATCACTAATCAAAGTAGGATGTATTCCTTTTTGTAGCAAACGCTCTGCAGCTTCCAAAAGAGAACCAGCTATAACAACAACACTAGTAGTGCCATCTCCAGCTTCAATATCTTGTGCTTTTGATAATTCAACTAACTGAAAACATAAAAATATTAAAAATGGATATAACAATATTAAAAGTCTACTTTTAATGTTTCCAATATTAATAAACTACCATTTTTGCTGCAGGATGTACAACATTCATTTCCTTCAAAATGGTAGCACCATCATTTGTAATAGTAACTTCTCCATTACCAGCTTGAATCTAGATATATAAAATAAAATATTACAAACATCTATAACGTATAATATTGAAGATACAAATTTCGACTAATAGACTTAATTTTACCATTTTATCCATTCCTCTAGGACCAAGACTAGTACGGATTGCATCACTGACAGCTGAAATATTAATAAGTAACCTTTAGATAAAAATTTCATTAAGATATATACATATATATCAATACAAACATTATAATAGATTTATTACTTTAAACAAAAACTTAAAATAATTTAAATTATAAATTGTACACTTATTTTCATTCAAATATATTTAATTACTTCTAAACAATTTTAAATATTTAAATATATTCTTAAATCAATAAAACTATATATTATAAAACGAATGATGCAGTTTTGATATGCTATATGACCATATAAGGTAAAATTCTTGTTGCTAAAATGAATAATTAATCAAAAGTGAAACATTTCTATGTTATAATTATAATAACATTATTTATTTACCTTTTGCAGCATTAATGTTGCTGCTACGAATATCGGTTGGTTTACTTTTATCTTTATAAGCTTGTCCATGAGCACTTCGTCCATCGCCGCTTGCTGTAATTGCCGTCATTTTCGGTAAGTTAGTCACGTTCCTCAGATCAGGTTGATTGCGAAGTTTATAGGCAAGTTTGTAAGGAACTTCGTTCCTTCGTGTATTAGAAATGGTTTCTCGCGACACTTTTTCTTAGAATCTGTTAAACACTTCAAAAGATATTTAATTATCCTTAACGTTGAAACACGTTCACCACGCTTTCGAGAAACGACTGGAAAACTTAGATTATATATTCTTAAGATTGGGCACATCATTGATAGAAGGTACTGAAAGAATGGTATTCAACACCACGTAGTGGTTCATCAAAGGAAGTTCTACAAATTCTTACTGTTTAAATTTACAAAATTCAACAGTTAATATACATAATATTTTATATTAATTTACACTACATTATATTATAGCAACATGGTTAATTAAAGTACTCAAAATCTGAAATTGACATAAATTTATAAACAGATTTTCAAATGGCGAATTGTTTGATTATAGTACAAGTTTCCACGCTAGTTTATAAATTGATTCGAGGTTGATGGTAAAACATGATTTCAACGTACGAGTTATCAGCGCCATTGTATGCTACAGTTTATTATTTACATGAACGTGTTACAATTAAGATGCGAGAATTTGATAATTGTGAAAACATAAGACTTTTAAGAAAGTTTGATAAGAACGTTACTTATACTTTTATGTGATTATTTCAAGGTGCGTCGTAAAAATGACGTAAGTTTAAAGATATGTAAAGACAAACCCACTAGATTGTCACCTATCCGTTGTCATTTCTGATAATCGGTATGGGATGTGCCAACTCACCTAGTATCAGTTAGATACGAATTTTCTTACGGCAATATGTATTTCTCGAAAGACTATTTATAACTTACGATGAAATAGATTTTTATGGTAACATTGTAAAAAAAAGATTTAGATACGATGGCAAGTGCAGCTGTCGGAACTAATTCGGAAAATACTTCCAAATTTTTCGAATCGTTACAAGCTGACTTGAAAGTTCTCGCATCTGAGACGAAGAAGAAATATCCACAAATTAAAGAAGTATGTTGTTATTACTGCTTTTTAATATCTAATTACATATTATTATTATATAATGTTAAATGAAAAAGTTAGGTTAGTTTTTCAATTCAGAGTGATGTATTTTTTCATGAAAATTTATTAATATTTTATTTTATTACAGTCATGTGAGGAAGGAATTGCAAAAATAAGAACAGCTTCAAATGCTTCAGGAGCTCCAATTTATTATATTGTCAATCAAATCTTATATCCTTTGGTTCAAGGTTGTGAAAGTAAAGATGTAAAAATTATTAAGGTATGTATGAATCGATATATTTTTTAACATTTTTTTTTTTTTTAATATATTTTATATCCATCATTCATATATTTATTTCAGTATGTTATTTATTTCTTTTAGTTTTGTTTAAGTATGATGCAAAGATTAATTACACAACAAGCTATTGATCAAAAAGGTGCCCGTTATATCACAGATACATTATGGATATTAATGGAATCAGGGACAGAAGAAGTCAAAGTTTTACAAACAGTAACTTTATTACTTACTAGTAATACAGTTGTTCATGGAGAAACACTTGCAAGAGTAATAATTTACATTACCTATAAAATAAAAAATGTATGTTACTAGCATTTTAAATAATCTGTAAAAAATAATATTAATTTTCAGAATTTAGTTCTTTGTTTTCGCTTACACTTTACAAAAGATTCTACAACAATTAATACAGCAGGAGCCACAGTTAGACAGCTAGTGTCATTGGTATTTGAACGTGTTGTTGCAGAAGATGAACAAGGCCTTGATAATGAAGATTTAGATGAAATAAATTTAGAGGAATTAAAAATTCCTACTAATCAAGCACCTAAAAGTCTAGGACCATGTGCTGCTGATGCATATTTAATGTTTCAAGTAATATCATTTATTATGTCTCTTAAGTATTGCATTTTTCAATAAAATTTAATTACACTAAAAAATTTTTAGGACTTAGTACAATTAGTAAATGCAGATCAACCTTATTGGTTAATTGGAATTACAGAAATGACACGTACATTTGGGTTGGAATTGCTAGAATCCGTTTTAACAAATTTTTCATCAGTATTTTTCAAGGTATTTTTTAATCACACTAATAATAGATTCACATATGTCTTGCGATTGTGCAATTTCTATTTTTTCTTTTTCAGCATTGTGCACTTGTAATAAAATTATTTTCACCTAATATCAAATACCGTAATTCAATACCAGCATCATTGCAGCAAGCCACACCTTTAGATAAACCTTATTTTCCTATTAGCATGAGACTTCTTCGGGTTGTTTCTATTTTGATACAGAAGTACCATTTCCTTTTGGTATACTAATTTTTATTTTTTAAATATTTTTTAAAATATTTTAATCTAATTAAGATTAAATCAATAGAGTTAATTTTTTAGGTAACAGAATGTGAAATATTTTTATCTCTAATTGTTAAATTTTTGGATCCTGATAAACCAACATGGCAAAGAGCCTTAGCTTTGGAAGTTTTACATAAGATGACAGTGCAAGCTGATCTTCTAACAAATTTCTGTAAATGTTATGACCTGAAGCCTCATGCAACCAATATTTTTCAAGACATTGTCAATAGTTTAGGTGCCTATGTACATAGCCTTTTTGTTAACCCTCAGATGATGAATCAAACCAATATGGGTAAATTTTAATTCACTATTAGAATAATGAAATATTATAAATATTAATAATGAAATATTAATATGTCTATAATATTAGCGACAAGCACAACGATTCCACAAAGTACAGCTTCTCCACTATTTACGGGAATGCCTATAGGACCTGGTGTTTCACCTCAACCAGGTTTTTATTCACGTGGTATTTGGCTGCCGGTAGTTGCAACATTCACAAGTGGCCAAGCTAAATCAACCTAGTAAATACACTTTTGTTTTTTATAACACAACAAATACACATCTATTTTTTATTTGTATAGTAAATGAATACAAAAAATTTAATTTAACTATCTAGTTTGGACATGCTTGATAAAGTTGAGCCACCACAGATTCCTATTGGCTATGGAATAAGCATAGCTTATGCATGTCTATTGGACATTATACGATCCATAGCTTTTGCAATTAATGAATCCAGTGAAGTTATAACTGGAAATCAATCTTACAAACCTAATGAATTTGAACGAAAACTTCATACTCAGCTTATTAATTCTAGTTGGTGTGGTTTGCTAGCAGCGTTAAGTCCACTTATAGATGCAAGGTAAGAAATCTTAATTTTGAATATTATCTAGAATTTATTTTCACTGCATAAAAATAATGTTTCCTTTTTTATGTGTAATTGTTAGCACTGATGAATCTGCAACAGAAAATGTATTAAAAGCAATTCAAACTTTTGCATCACTTTGTGGGCAGTTGGAGTTGCAAACTCCGCGTGACGCATTTATTACTGCAATATGTAAAGCATCACTACCCCCTCATTATGCATTGACTGTATTGTACAATGCTCCCCAAGGTATCCCAACTGCAAGGCAACAAGAATCAATTCAATACAATGTGACAATTGGTGAACCAGATTATAGACAACAAGTAGTAGCTGTTGGTACTCCACTACCTACTGCATCTCTACCAGTCGGTATGTAATAATTTCAATCAGGAAAGGAGTTGATATAGCTGTTTATAATTGAATCGAATAAAAAAAATATTTATCAATATAGGTGCACACCAAGGTCCAGTTATGTTAACAGCAAAAAATTTACAATGTATGCGTGCGTTATTATCACTTGCACATTGTCATGGAAGCATACTTGGTGGTGCATGGCATTTGGTACTTACGACATTACAACATCTTGTCTGGATACTCGGTTTAAAACCTTCTACAGGAGGATCCTTGAAAGCTGGAAGAACTGCTGCTGATCCAAATGCAGTACTTACAAATGCTGTTATGGCAGACTTACCTGTACTTAGCGCCATGCTTAGCAGACTATTTGAAAGTAGTCAACATCTTGATGATGTAGCTTTACATCACTTAATAGATGCACTTTGCAAGTTAAGCCATGAGGCCATGGAATTAGCTTACTCTAATAGAGTAAGTTATGAGATAATTCATATTTTGTAATAATGAAAGGTTGAGAAAACGTAAAAGTAAAATACTCAATTTTTAATATGTTTACATTTCATCTCGTTTATTAGTATTAACCAATATCTCATAAAAGAGAACTGAAAAAATAGTTTGATTGAACCTTTCTATTAGGAGCCCTCCCTTTTCGCTGTGGCTAAACTTTTAGAAACTGGTTTGGTAAACTTACCGCGGGTAGAAGTTTTGTGGCGACCATTAACAAATCACTTGTTAGAAGTTTGTCAACATCCACATATTCGTATGAGAGAATGGGGAGTGGAAGCTATCACATACCTTGTAAAAATGGCACTTCAGCACAAATATTCACAACCTTTACGTGATAATCAAGTATGTCTATTTAATAAATTTTATCTTTTAATTAGAAGTATAGAAAATACAATTAATTTTTTTATTATAGAAGTTGCAGACTTTACTTCTAGGACCATTATCAGAATTATCGTCGGTTCGTCATGGAGATGTAAGACAACGACAGTTGGAATGTGTATTACAAGTTTTACATGGAGCAGGAGAAACATTATATCATGGTTGGCCTTTAGTACTCGGTATTATTGGAGCAGTATCTGATCATCATGGGTAAATATTATTAAATAGCGTTATAAGTTCCATTTAGTAAATTATCATTTATTTTAGTTTTATATTAATATAATTTACAGAGAAGCTTTAGTTCGAATAGCCTTTCAATGTTTACAATTGGTAGTAACTGATTTTCTACCAGTAATGCCTTGGCGATGTCTTCCACTTTGTGTTGACACAGCTGCAAAATTTGGTTCTCAGACACAAGAACTAAATATTTCATTAACTGCTGTTGGATTAATGGTAAGAATAAATTATTTATGATTCAAATATATTAAGTTTAATATTTTTTGTTGATCTAACATGTATTTTTCTTAATTTCCATTTTTTCTATCAATTTGAAAATAGTTTTAAATATTACGCGAATTCGGTGATTTTTGTTTTAAACTTTCGATTACAGATTATGGAATTCCTTTCAAATTTGCCAGAGCAGAAATTCATAATTAAATGATGTGCATATATTCAGTTGTAGAAGAAATTAGAAACATATAAAATTGTTAAAA